GCTTGCTACTGTATTTCAGGTAATCAGAGTTATTTGGTGTTTCTTCAGGACAAATTGCTCCTTTCACCATCCTGAGCCTTCAGTGTTGTTATTTGTTAAATAAGATGACTTAAATAGGACTTCCTTTTCCAACTCCATTTAAAGCTGATCTGGCCAGGCTGTACCTGTCCACATTTTCTACTCTTTCGTACTTAATTAACTTCAGCTTTTTGTCTGCTTTTAAGACTTATGAGTGCTGAGGTTTTTCTTTAACCTTTTGAAAATATGACATCACATTATCCTTTTTAGTTTTTAGATACTACTTCCATTTTTTTAAAGTTTATTCTTCCATGAGCAAGAAAGAGGGAGAAGAAGGGAGAGGACACTTTCAATAAACAGGGTGTTGATTCTATGACCCACCCTCAGCCTCAGTCAGCCCTGGTTCATGGACACGTGTGTGCCTGGTGTCCTCAGGGAGATTTCTAGACCTGAACTGGGAACTTTCCCAAGTAAGTCAGCCTCAAAGAGTGCCACATTAGGGACCAGCAGTTACCATAATGGCTATGTCGCTGGACTCCCATGTAGTTGACCGTGGTTCGCATTCCGGACCCGGGGGCTTAAAACTCACGCCAGGCACGTGTGCATGCGTGCCCAAGATCCTGAGAGGAGAATGGAGGAGAAGGGATTGCGGCGTGGCCATCCCCCCTGGGGAGTGATTTCTCATTTTCTGTCTCTCTGTCTCTGTCTGTCTTTCTGGAAAGCACACGCGCCCTATAGCAAAAACCTCTCAAAAAAAAAAAAAAAAGAGTGCCACATTATACCATCTGAGAAATGGGATTAAAGTTTCAGTTTATTCTGGTGCAAAAATATTTGAAATCCAAACAGATTTTCTTCCCATAATATGCATTTTCTGTGAACTTTATGAAGCCCCCTCTCAACATAGAGTTTAATCTTTTTTTTTCCTTTTTTTTTATACTGTTTCATATTTGCAGAAACTGAGACCTTAATCCTATTTACCCTCTTTTCCTTCTGAAAAATCCTTTACTTGGGTTCCCTCAGTCCACCATTTTTTCATGAATTACATAAACATTTATTGAGTATCTACTATAATGCTGACCCATACAAGACAAAGCCGTAGGCCATGTCCTGCCAACATTTACAATGAAATAGGAGAAGGTGGACGTGAAAAGCAGCAGGTACAATAAAATGCTAGCTGGGGGTGGAACTTTGTAGCTGAATGGCTATGTCTCCTGGATTATCTGTCTTCTCTTTGGCCTAGCCCTGGTGCTCAGTAGCTCTCGATGCTTCCCATTGCTGACTACCAGTACCAGGTTCAGAGCTGATCATGCTCGCGGGATGGCCAAGGTGCAGAATGCTTGGATCAAGGACAGGCAGATGCAACAGGGTAGATATTACCTCTAGAAGGAGTACCTGTTAGGGTAGGCAGACAGTTAGACATGAGCAGGGAGGGGAGGATCTAGAAGCCAATGGTACTGCCCATGGGAAATACCCCAAACTGCCCTTTTTGTGGTGGGTAACACCCTGTTGCTCAAGATAGGGGCAACATGGAGTTTATAGAACTTGGAGCACAGACAGTATTGAAGCTACAGAGTCTACACAACTTGAAAAGAGCGTATGTAGCTTGGAGCCTTCCAAGTAGCGAGCTTGGTTGCCCTCAAGTTACCTCTAGCTCATTAACATAGTATTGCATTGACTCTCAGGAAATGATTATATAACAAGGCCCAACTGAGCGTGCACTGAAGTGAAAGGGGAGGAGATAGAAAAGCACACAACGCAGAAAGTTCAATGCTGGTATCCACCCTTGGAGCCAGCCTGCTCCTACTTCTCTAGGTTGTACTCTAACTTTCCCCTGCTCTTCTGTACTTTTCATTTTACCCTGCTACAGAGCTTTGCTGTACCACTGTACCATGTCTCTTGGCTGATTTCTTTCATCTAGGATGACGAAAGTGGAGGTATTCATTTCCATGCTACCAGAATCAGCTAGGATAAAGTGGGTTTCAGTTGCCTGGACAAGTGTTAAGCCATGCCACAATAACCAGCTAGTTTAGAAAGGCTGGTCCCAGGATTTTGGCTTTCCTACTTACCAACTGTGTAACAGAATGATTCACTTATTCTTTCAGGGCCCAATTCTTCCCCTGTGAAAGGGATACTAACAAATAGTATTTCCATGTTGTTACAAGGGTCACTAATGAAAGTTAAACACCTGAAATCATGCCTTTACAGTCAGCCTTAACCACTTGATCTGTTCTTTTTAGTGATTGATATTCCCTATTATACACTGACAATCATCATCATTTCTCTCTCCAGGACACTTAGGCTTTTTGTTAGCCTCCCTATTCAAATTAATTTTCTGGAAAGAACTTAAGTTCACTTACACAAGCTATGTATGTCATATTATCTTCAGGGACATTTACTTTCACCTGATACTGAAGAACTTAAGTCAGAGGAATTCTAGAAGTTAGGAAGCAGGACGCTCTTAGTACCTACCTATAAAGCTGGCTCTGTTGCCTGTAGGGGAAGCCTGGTGGGAACTGAGGTCCAGAAGGGTGGCAGTTAATGACTTGGATTCCTTAGTGGCCTCCTGTTCCCACTATGTACGGCTGGTATCTACACAGCAAGAAGCATAACTAAATACCGCTTGACTGCTCAGAACTACATAGAATTAATATTGAGATTCAGGAAGCTGGACAGAAGTGCAGTGGTAAAATGAGACTCTGGCTGACCCACATGGGGAAGTTGCAGGTTTATTCAGAGACTTCCCTGAGTATGATGAATATGGAGTGCTCACGATCAGGGACTGGATATAGCTGGGGGTGGAAAGTGGTGTCAAGAATCTACTGGGGGTGCTGTCTCTTGTCTCTCTTTCTTTCACTCATGGGAGAAGTAAACAAATAAACTTTTCTAAGTTTAAACAAATAAACTTAGAAAAAAAAATACTGAAATGGGCTGGTACCATAGCCCAATGGTTAAGTACTGTGATAGAAAGTCAGATCCCATTGGCTAACTGTGGTTCCAATCTCAGCCCCAGCAGTTTGAAAAAACATGTGGATTTTATGTGTGTGTACCTAAAATCCTGACAGATGGAGAAATGGAGGAAAAAGGATTGTGGTATGACCCACGCTACACTGTAGGGTGCTTTTCTTTTCCCCTCTGTACGGCAAACACATACAACCTCTGACAATTAAAAAACAAAACTGAGATTTTGTAAGCAGTTCGTGTCTAAGGAAGATCACATTACCTCCCATGCAGATTCTTTGGGGAACAAAGTGGAAATGACAATGATGTCAGTAAGTCATTTTGAACTCTAGAATGACCAATATGACCTGGCCCCTTTAAGGAGAAAACACACTCTGCACCAGTCCCTGAGACGCTCAGGCAGTAACAGCAGTCTGCTTAACTATTAGCCCCAACTGCCCTCAACCTGACAGGTCATCCAAAAGGACTGTTTCTCATTCTGGTATCAGAGTCGGGAGGCCATGACTAACAAAGATGTATAAAATAGACTCAGGTTTTGTGGCATAGTCAGTAGTGCATTAGACTGTGGAGCTGGAAGCCACATGCCAACTGCAGTTTGAGTCCTGGGCCCAGTTGACCTGGAAGCAAGGCAAGTGTGTGCACATAACCAGAATCTTGGAAGGCTGGAGGACCAGAGGATGATTGTGGTGTGACCGAGCCCTCTAGAGGGCGCCTCTCTTTCTCCCTCTCTCATGCAGTGTTCTTTCATGAATAATATAATGCCTCTGCAAATTCTTTTATTAATCATGTGGTTTAAATAAATTAAAACCTATTGATAAATGGGAGCAATACTATTGAAATAAGATGATAGAACAGTGTAAGGCGTTTCATACTAGTCTTCTGTGTGACATAACCTGGGACTTACTGTGGACATATTTAGAATGTTATACAAAGAAACGTAGCTCTTTATCGTCTCACAGTAAAGCCTATTTCTTCCATCCCTGTGGTAAAAATGCCTTCAAATGAAATTTTTGAATATTTATTTTAATAGTCAACTATGAAAGAATCTGTAAATACATGTAAATGTGTTAAATTTTATCGGTCATGGTAAATCATTCAGAGAACTACAGGAAAAGGTTTTTTAAAACTTCCTTTCAGTCAAACACTAATGGCTTTAAAATGAACAGAGAGGTAGGTTGTGCTCATAGGAGAGAGAAAAGAGAGCCTCTAGAGAGAGGAGGTGGGGAGAAGAGAGACAGAGACAGAGACCCCACAGGGATGGACAATCCTTTCTCTTCCTTCTCCTCTCAGGATTTTGGGCATGCAAGCATGCCTATGTATCTGGTGTGTTTTTCAAGCCACCAGATCAAAGACTCAAATTGCACATTTGGCCTTATGAGATCCAGCCACCATAACCATCTCACCACCAGCTGGCCCCAAGGTGGTGTTTCTAAAAGATCCAGTGGTTTGTTTGTGTACCTGTGTGGCCTCATGGTGATAAATGGGAACAGTGTTTACTTGGGCCAAGATATCCACTAAACACTGAGAAAATTATGTCAGTGTAAAAGTGTTATGAAACAGTGAGGGAACTAACATTAAGAAAAACGGAAAGGCAAGTTACACTTGATTAAAACGTCCATGATAATTTTATCTGAAAAAAGACTTTCTTATAGAACATTGAAGATTCCTACAAGTCACTAAGAAAGACAAACCACTAAAAGATGACCAAAGTATTTGAGGACATTTCACAAACTAAGATGTACAAATGAATAATAAGCATATGAAAAGGTATGCAGAACCTCCCTTATCACCGAGATACCACGACGTACCCACAATAATGGCTAAAACCGAAGACTGACAATACCAAATACCGATGAGGATTCTGGGCAACTGGGCCTCTCATAGTGGGGGTGTGAAATGGTACCACCACTTCTGAGAACTGTCTGTTTCTAATGAAGTTAAACATGCACTTACTCGATGACCTAGTAATTGTACTCTACAATATGTAGCCAAAGAAATGAAAAAATATGTCCACAAAAAAGGTGTACATGTTCATAGCAGGTTTATTCACAAGTCCCAAACGGAAAACAATCCAACCACTCGCAACAATATAATGAATTAACATAACACATTTGTACAACACACTACTACTCATTAATAAATTACTACTCATTACTAATATAAGAAACATGGATGACTCTCAAAACCTTATGTTGACAGAAAAAGGGCAGACACAAGAGTACATACTAGATAATTCTATTGCTATGAAGTTGAAGACTAGTTAACTATTGGGTTGTCGGCAAAGTCATGATGCATTTTTTGCATAAAACACACCGAAAAAATACATCATGACTTTTCTAACAACTCAATAATATATAGTGATGGAAATTAGCACAGTGATCACATCTAAGGAAGAGAGCATTGACTAGAAAAAGGCAGGAGGAAACTTTATGGAGTGATGGAAGTGTTTATAATGATCTTAATTTAGGTGATGGTAATGCATTTATATCTATCAGGATTCATCAAACTGCCTTATGACTTAGGTATTTTTATTGAATATAAATTATAACAATTAAAAAAAGATACTGATAAATATTCTCTTATGCAGAGGGACAGAAAAATAGCATTTTTAAACCAGTAAACCTATGCTATGTTTCTGATATACATTAACAGCACCACTATTTTTTTAAAGTGAGGGACAAAATGGTATGAGTTTTTAAGAAAATGTATTTAAAAACTCAAGAGTTGAATGTGCTCCATATATCTTTTAGATTCTCTTGAGTATATAATCCACCTAATAAAACTGAATTCCCACTCAAGCAAGCACTGTGTTTATCTAAAAACTTATGCGCTCTTTTTAAGATACTGCACACGTATGAAAAAATTGTATTATTTGCAGATACTGTGTAGCACTTTATTGGTAAACTCAGCCAATCCAAAGTCGGATTTTCTGCTGTTTTTATGCTAGTATTTGCAATTCTAGCTTTTTTAAAAAAATCTTTTTAGCTAGTTTGATTAACTGAATCATTTAAACCTTAATTACCTCAGTTTTGTCAGTAAATCATGGTTTTACTTACTGGAAATAATTTGGGTGACTACTCCTGTGGAGGCTTTAAACAAAACTCCATTTCAGATACAGAAGGTTCTCTAGAAGCCTGTAAGAAAATGATGAATTACAAGATATTTTAATTATTAAACTTCATACAAGTCTTTCTGAAGGTTATCTCTTGTAATAATTTATGTGCCTTAAATGTTAGATTTTTTTTTTAAATAAAGAAGATGCTTTGTTTAAACATAAAAAGAGAATACTATCTTAGGAGTTTGAAATAGTCAATTTCCTCTACATAAAAACTTGGGTTTTTATGTGTCAGAATATTAGAAACAGAAAATAAGTTTCCTAACTTTTGGGGAAAATACATACCTAGCTCTGTACTCAATTCCTGGAGTAATTGTATGATGCTTATGTCCTATTAAAATGAACTTTAGGGCCTCTTCTTGAGATTTTGCAATTACAAAGTTTGCAGCATGTCTAATACTTAAAAAAATCATTTGCGAGACTTCTCATTTCTGAATAGATTTGAATGTGGAAGGCTAATTCCTCAGATGTTTGTTTTCTTGGGATTAATATTTCTATAATTTTGCTACTTGCCCAGGTAAACATTGATGTTTGGCTTACAGTTATAAGAGAGTGTAAAAATTAAGTAAAAAAACAAAAACAAAAACAAAACATTTAGCACACATTTCACTCTTATTTTTCTATAAAAATATAACTCTTTATTAAATAACATGCACAAATATCAACTAGTCATTTATTAAACAGATATGATTTAGAACAAGATTTAAAGAAATACAAATTCTTAGGTACAATTTAGTATCTTGTTCATGATATTTGAATAATTTAAAAAGAATTACTGATTAAACTAACCATCATTTATTTTCTTTCAGAATCCAAAACTTTTACAGGCATATACTGCATTCCAAATTTTTTCTCGCATTTCAGAGCTTCAGAATACATTTAATATCAAAGCCCTTAACTATTTTACTTGATTTTAAATTTCCAATGAGAAGGCATTAACTTTTCTTGTAAGGTATGCCAATTAGCTTTTAGTCACTTCACAAAGGAAATTTGTAGAAGCAGAATCATGGCAGAGAGGTCCCCAGCTTTCTGAGGTACATTAAAGGGGGTGATAACTGTGGCTAAGACTAAAAAGCTGGGAGGAGTAAAAATTCTCTAGACTCCTGCTTGCTTTTTTCTTCTGGCGCTTGTTCTATTTGGCCAAATAGTGATATTTCCTCCCCTTCTCTGGCTGAACCACAGAACAAAATGCTCTATAAACTTACCCCCTCTTATTTTCTATAACTTTAATGCTCAAGAATCTAGTTTTTGACTTTTATGATTCGCAAGGCTATCCCAACAAATTTCCTTTTTAGGCAAAAGTATAAACAAACTGCATTAAGTTTTTCATATTAAAAAGTATTGCTTTTATAAATTAGCTTTTAACATTCTCAGCCTTAATAAACATAACTTCAACAAAACCAGTGCTTCAAAAATCTACCCTGCCTTTCTGGCCCAATTTATTCAATAAAAAAGGCCAAAATCTCTCACCTAAATTTCTAAAGAAAAGAACATCCAACCTTTATAATAAAGTCCTTGCACTGTGTATTTTTTTTTTACACGTGCTGCTTTATTGCGCATGCCAAGTACAGTAAGAATTAAAATATAAATTGATGTAAAAATTCAAAAATCCCTAAGCTTAAAGCTTAATATGTACCTTTGCACTCAAAAATTTTACATTCTTTCCCATTAGCTGGGATTTCCAACTGAATTTAATTATTACTTCATTCCTCATATATTTTCACTTTTCTATATCAGAGTAGAAAATAATCAGTATATTTTATAATTTATGCAAGTATTACGGAAAGTTTTGTAAATTTTATTTCATATACTTATGATGAATTTTACACCTACCTAATTTTTCTTTCAAAAATGTTTAACAAGTCCAGCAGCAGGTTTCAGATGTGAAATATTCCTGATTATTTAATCTACACCATGTTACAGGAGAAATTGGACTTTTTCTAAGTCTATTGCTAACTCTGTTATTATAAAACAGCATACCAAATTTTATAAAATTTTGCAAATTATATGTTTTGCATCTTGATACAAGGAAAAAAATACAACATATTAGTCAATTTTTCATAAACATTCAAGAGACTGACTGGAATATTTCTAAGCTTCTTTTAACTTATTTTGACTACCAATCTCTCTTTTTTGATTTAAGTACTCAGTTTTTATTTTAAAAGTGCAAAGGTTATTAAGCTTAAAACATTAAATTTAAGCAATGTAAAAAAGTTTTACAATGATTTAACATGACCAATAAAATTTATTAAACATATTTACATATATTCACAGATTCTTTCATAGTTGAGTATTAAAATAGACATTTACAATTTTCATTCAAAGGCATTTTTTCCCCCATGGGGAAAGAGGCTCTACTGTGAGATGAAAGAGAGCTAAGTTTCTTTGTATGACTAATTCTAAATAATATGTCCCACATAGTAAGTCACAGGCTCCATCACACAGAAGACTAGTATGAAACGCCTTACACTGTTCCAGGCATCGATTATGGAGAGTTAAATTATAGGAAGCATGCAATACAACTAAGTCACAACCTTTACAGTTATGAGGATGAAAACAAGCTAACTCAAACACATGCATGCCTTATTTAAAAGTTTTGCTACCTGAACACACTACTATTACACTTCATACAAACTACAACTTTGGTCCAATAAAACATTAGACAAAACAGTTTAACAGTTATTCCTTTGTACATGTTTTGACTATCAATCCCTTTGTATATATTTTGGCCATTAATTACAAGATTTACATCTGCACAATATGTATAAAATAAGTTATTAAAAAGGAAGACAATATTAAAACTTTTGAAAAGAATACTGTACAGTTAATTTACAGATATAATAAACTGAAGAAGTTTTGTGCCAAGTTTTCTTCCACATTAGAAACTATTTGGTGGGAATTGAACCTTTTAGTTTACTGATAGACTTTTAATAAAACCTGAAATAGATTTGAATACTAGTGGTTATCTCTTTAGAATGTTCTCTACAATGCTAACAACTTCCAGCGCTGTTAGCCAATCCTCTACTTTTTAAATATGTACCACAGTCTGCCACATGCGCTAATGCAATAGTTACCTTCCACCAATATAAATAAGAGCTTTTTGTTAGAAACTGTGATTGTATCTAAGATCTAAGACAATTTTCTTCATTTTTATAAAATGACAGTGTTTCCTACATAGCCAACTTAGTTGAACTTTACTAACAATCGTAAAGGCATAATATCAGCATTTTTGTCAAAAGGCAGTATTCCACAGTATACAATGCTTGAGCATCATCAGTTTAGAATGACATCATCAAGAAGTAATGCCACTATATAGGAGTCAATTCAAAATCATCATTAACATCAACAAGGGGGACATAAAACTCCTGGATTTCGTAAATGCTGATAGATTTATACGTGGCGGGATCAAGTTCCTGGAGTTTCAGCTGCCATTCTAGTCTCTGGACGGCATTTAAAGCCGCAGCTTCATGTTGTTGCCTCATTAAAAGACATGTCTATTTAAAAGAAGAGAATAATTCATCAATTAGTTTACTATTTTGTTAAATCTGCTCTGTATAAAAACTCATCTTATCTGGTTTCTGTAGGGACTAAGATATATTAGAAATACAAAAAGGGTTTGAATTTATGATAAGCCCATTTCCGTGTTACCTTGTTAATATCCACCCAATTATCTAGTCTGTAAGATCACTAGGCTATAATTTGAAAACACTCTTGGGACCAGTAGGTGGTGAAGTGGTTAAGGTGCTGACTCCCACATGACTGACAGCAGTGTGAGTCCCAGACCTGACAGCTTGAAAATCATGCTGGGTGCATGTGCGTGCGTGCCCAAAATCCCGAGAGGAGAATGGAGGAGGAGGATTGTGGTGTGGCCATCCTCCTTGTGGGGTGATTTCTCACTTTCCCTTTCTGTCGTGACTGCATGTGCCCTACTGCAAAAACCCAAGAAAAAGAACATATCCTTTCAAATTATGGTTTTTGCTATAGGGTACATGCGCTCACCAGAAAGAGAAAAACAGAGATAGAAAGAGAGAAATCACCCCCCAGGGGGATGGCCACGCCACAATCCTTTCTCTTCTGTTCTCCTCTCAGGATCTTGGGCATGCACACACATGTGCCTGGTGTGAGTTTAAGCCACCGGGTCCGGGACTCGAACCGCGGTCGGCTACATGGGAGTTCAGCGACATAGCCATTACTCTAACTGCTGGTCCCAAATTATGAGATTTCAGGCCCACCTGTGGTAGCACCTGGCGCTACTGCTTAGGCTGAAGGCATATGGGACCACATTTGTTCTGGATCCATACTAAAAAAGCTGGGCATGGTGGCACATACCCATGGGCCCAGTTACATAAGAGACTGAGGCAGGTGGATCATGACACAGTAAGGTCCTGCCTGGAACACCATACACACATATACATAAGCACCCACAAATTATGAGATTCCAAATTAGCGAAGAAATCATGAAAATCTATGGAGAAAAAGTTTTTTTTTTTTTAAGAGATATTTTTTTTTTTGCTATAGGGTGCATCCACTCACTGGAGACAGACAGAAAGAAAATGAGAAATCACCACCACCACCCCGCCCCCCCGGGGGGAGGTGGTCAAGCCACAATCCTTTCTTCTCTCAGGATCTTGGGCATGCATGCATACACATCCAGCATGAGTGTTTTTTATTTTTTTAAATTTATTTTACATTCATTTGCTGTATATCATTGCAGCATGCAAAATGAGTTTTCCCATCCAGAATACACTGTATATTGACTCAATCAAGGATATTACCATACATGTTATCATCAATAAATAATTTTCCATTTCTTGTTTCTTATCTAGTTTGCTTCCCCTCTCCTCCCCCCATTCCTTCCCTCTCACCCTCTGCCATTTCCCACCCTCCTCTTCTATCCCTAGATACTGTCTCTGGTATCCACAGTTGCTTTCCATGCTTTTTTCCCCTCACATTTTATTTATTCACAAGAGATCTTAATTAATCTAAATACTTTCAATAGCAAGTACAACTGACACAAACATATCTATGAACGCATGTCTGACTTTAGGCATAAAACTCAGTGAGCCGAATAAATAAACTATAAAGCAGCACCTAGCTAAGGCTATAGGAGCTTACTGCAGTTATTAAGTAGGCATGTTTTTTTAAATGTATTTTTTTTTAATTTCAAGAAAAGCAGTTTGGGCTTTAATAAATCAAAATCAAAAGATGTTAAGAAAAATCTGCTTAACATTTAAGGCCCAAAAAAAGGTTAGGATTCTGTTGAAATAATAGGTAGACACTAAAAACTGAGAAAACAGATATAGACAGAGCTAAAATCTTGTAACAAAGTGCACTGTAATTTTCTTCTGAAACATCTTTTTCTCTCTCCATTCCCTTTTACCAAAGAGAGGCATAACATAGACTAACTTATTTGCAAAAAATACATTTAGTGTCTCGATTTTGGTCTGTTATTTGCACAAAGCCCCATAAGAATACTAACTGATTTAGCTGGCTTGCTGGAACCTTTTATAAGGAACTTCAAGTTAGACTCTTTAAAAAGCCTCTCAGGACTACTGAACCAAGTCAGGAACTCACCATCTGTTTATCTGGCATGAGTTTTAAGTCACCAGGTCAGGACTCAAACTGCAGTCCATGATGTGAGAGTCCAGTGATGTAACCATTATGCCATCTGCTGGTCTCAAAAACCCCCCCCCCCCTTTTTTTTAAGAGTTTTTTTTTTTT